TAAATGTTTTATCAGGCCCAGTCAAGTCAGACCATGAAAACTAAAGTGTCTTATCTTGCATTAAGCTAACGTTACCGCTAGGCTTTAAGTATTATCTCACAATAATTATCACTAATGGAAGTTACGGGTAAAACTAAATAACACAAAAATAGTTTTTTATAAGGACTTTTAATCACGAAATCAAGAATACAACTTTATGCATTAACAAAATATTAAAGCACAAACTTCTGAGATCAATCAGTCTTAAAAAAATGAAAAGGCAATAGTTTTAAGTATACCTAGAGATCAGATATCACAAGTTAATAGGTACTTGTACTTAGACTTATACTAATCAAATACAAAATTATTTATATATTTATCAGAAATTGAATACTAAATATAATATTATCGACTTATTTAATTATATTTGAAACAACATGCATGTGTTTGAAATAACGCACTTCCACATTTCCTGGAATATCATGCTCATGCGCAATATTTTCGGTTTCAGCCTCCAAATTATTAATTTCCTCAGAAATCTGAAATTAAACAAATAGATCAAAACGGTGTAAGAAAATCCAAGCCTTTCAACAAAAATACTTATAGACGAACACAATCGGTTAAAATAGTAAATGTTCCCACCTATTTACTTAAAACTTCTGTTACATGTACTTGATTTAATATTTCGACGCATTGTAGAATCGCGTAAGATTTTTCAGTCCGAATTTTCAATAAAATCGCATTCCTGAAAATAATTTGTGCACATTAGAATTAATATTTTTGCGCCAAAATACATATTTTATAGAAGTACGTATGATTACACAAATGTATTAATTAATTCAATGAATAACTTCAAAGAAAAATTGGAATCGAACCCACAACCTCGTTTACAGCAGTCGCATACACTTCTACTGTACTACCACGGCAATAAAAAAAGAAATAATAAGGTTGAAATAAATCAAATAATAATTCTTTTTTAGTAAATCAGTTGTTACTTTCTATAATTATATCGTCTATAAATATATCATACTAAAAAGGTAGGTTATGCTTTATAAAATAAATAAAATATTTAGTTAATAAAAGGTCAAATAGACTTACATCTTTTGTAGGACTTTTGATAATGACTGTCGGAAACAATGGTTTAAATATATTAACTTCGTTTGAATTGTTGAGATCAGATCCTGAAACACAAATGGAGCATTAGATAATCGTTATCATCTTTTGTTTAGGTACGTAAACAGTCCAAAGTAGGTAACGGATCAAATGACTTATTTATATACCTAACTACAAACTATGGACATTTAAACTATTAGTATATAAGACGTACCAGATTGTTGGTTCCCTCAAGACGTCCGGAATGCTCTACCATTATGTCTTCATTCTAATAAGAAAGAAAATAGGTATTTTAGTTAAGTAAGTACTCATTATACGAATCCAAATATTTTGGTAGCTTATTGTAAAACACCTATTAGTGCTTAGTTATTTACCTAATTGTATTAAAAATTTTACTAGGTTAATTAATTATAAAATATCCAATACCTAAATAATATACATACCTGTTCATTAGAATCGGGTTCAATGTCAAATCTTTTGTCTAACACTTTTTGGTAAAATTATTTACGAACAGCGTATTGCGACAGCAAGCGTGACCTCCCTCGACGACAGTGCACGGGTGGCTGAAGCGCCCGCACAACTCTCTCGGCCCTAACTAACAGCCGCGGTCTCTGTGAATAACAGTCTTGAACTACCGTCTAACCACCATAGTTTCGTATTTATCAGTCTTTTTTGGTAGGTTTAACTCACAAATGCAATAAATTTTGCATTAAGTAAATTAATTGAAGTGCTATAAACACATTAGAATAGCTTCAGGTAAAATTGTATTATCGACCATTTAAGTATTAAATGTTGTCGATAAAATTGTTTTAACGTCCAAATAATTGTAACATGCAGAAAAGTAAAATGTTTTAAACGACAAAAACATATATTTTATTTACAAGGAAATTGATTTATGTTTAGATTTTAAAATAATTGCCAATCTATAAAATGTTTTATTACGTCATTTTTTTGAAAATTGAAAAGGTAAAGAGTTTTAACAAAAATCTAGTTGTAAGCTTAAGCAGGTATAAATGACTTATCAATAGTTTGTTACTATCATGTACGCTTTATGAACCAAAGTTAAAAAATGAATGGATTTAATACAAAAAAATATACGAAAAAGTCGAAAATCACCGGTGTATTAACCACCATGAAAGTGCTCAGATTAAGTCGCTACCTAGACTATTCGAAAGAGAAAAATCAGGCGATTCCAACGATATATATAACTCATATTCGACCAAAGTGGCGCTTAATACATTTTGCCTTTCCAGCGTCGATATTATGTACACAAGAAAACATTACGATACCTTCACAAAAAAAAGTAGTGTTCATAATCTTAACACAAGAAATAAAGATAAACTTGCCGTTCCAAGCTTCAGACTTCAAAAAACCAGAGGATCATTTCTGGGTAAATGTATTGCTATGTTCAATAAAGTTCCACAAAATGTAATCGACCTACCCATAAATAAATTTCAAATTCATGTAAAGAATATACTTATGAGTAAAGGCTATTATAAAGTTGATGATTATTTTAAGGATCGCAATGCATGGAATTAATAGCCTTCGCTTTGTTCTAATTTTATGTTCAACCTATGTCCTACAGACTTTGAAAGTTGTATTTACTATTGTGATAATACATATTATTTTGGTAATGACATGATTTATGTAAATGTCATTTCATAACTTATGATAAAAAGCTGGTAAGTTTCTTTCGCTTGTTCTTCTTGTCAGCTAAAAGACGTCCTGAATAAGTGGTAGGGAAAAAAAGTTTTTTAAACAATTCAAAAGTGCTTGTAATAGCCTACTTGAATAAAGATATTTTCATTTCATTTCATTTCAATAATGTACTTAGAATGTTTTGTTGCAAATACTTCAGTTTATTTGTTTTCTAATTCCTATTTTCCAATAAATATATAATTATGAAGGTACATATGTAAATATGGCTTTTATTCACCCGTGGATAAATAAATATATCAATACAGTTCGATTATCCGAAAAAACCGGTTTTCCGAACACCCCTGTCCTCCATTTAGTTCGGATAATCGACGCTCTACTGTACCTATCTTTATACACTGGACCGCAAAGAAAACGGGTCGGTTAGAAAATCGTCAATATCTTGAAAACTACTTAACTTATTTTTATGAAATAAAAACTAAATTAAAGATTATTTAATTGTAATTTATTGAATATAAAAAAATACAAATTAAAAGTTGTCTATTTTCAATAAATGTCAAACGAATGAAAAAGGTAGTTTTTCTGACATTTTCGTAAATATGAATTGTATAAAGATGTGACGTTTTTACGCATGTTAGTATTTCGTGTTGCCTCCACGAGCTTGCAAAACTGCGGCTATGCGATTCGGCATACCTTCCACAAGATTTTTAAGGCGATGCTGCGGAATGTTCTGCCATTCCTCGATCAAAGCTCCTTTCAATTCACGCAGCGTGATTGGCGGCGGATTCCGTTGACGTACACGTCGTCCCAGTTCGTCCCATGCATGTTCGATGGGGTTTAAGTCGGGGCTTCGTGCTGGCCACTCCATGCATGTGATACCTACTTCGTGAAAATAGTCGAACACTATCTGAGCTGTATGCGGGCGGGCGTTGTCTTGCATAAAAACAGCATTTTCGCCCATATCTACTAAAAATGGACCAACATAGTCATTAAGAATTTCATTCACATATCGTTCTGCTGTTAAACTGCCATTTTCTATCACTACTAGCTCAGTACGGCTTTCGGAAGAAATCCCAGCCCACACGTGTATAGAGTCACCGCCATATGGTACTTTTTCTTCTATACAAGCTTGGTTATAGCACTCTCCCGGTCTTCGGTACACTCTTTTCCTCCCATCGTGCTTGTATAAACAGAATCTAGACTCGTCTGAAAACATAACTCTTGACCAGTCATCCAGAGTCCAAGTTTCGTGTTCTCTGCTATAACTCAGCCTTGAGTTTAAGTGGTGTCTTTCTAATTTTGGGCCATTTGCAGGCCTTAATGGTCTCAAATTTGCTTCAGCCAGACGTCGCCTTACTGTATCTGTACTCAGATAGTTTCCTCCAGCTCGTAAATGGTGATTTTTTACCTCAACGGCCGTAAGAAATCGATTTCTCAAAATTGTTGACACCATATAGCGATCCTCCCTCGCAGTCGTGCACCTCGTTCGGCCTGTTCCTGGTCTTCTTAGGTTGGATCCAGTTTCATGGAAACGCTGGAGTACCCGCTGAACTGTGGAAAGACTCACACCAACAGTTCTCGCTGTATTGCGCTGACTGCGCCCATCTTCAAGCATTGTCAGGATCCTGGTGCATTCTTCAGGGGTTAACGACATGATGACTTCAGAATACAATTTTTGTATGACAAACATACGATATTTATTGTAGTTTTTATGTCAAAACTAAAACAAATTCGAAACAAATGCTTTGATTTTTTTAGAACTAAATTGAAAAACAACCATTATCTTCATTGCCAGTTTTCTTACACAATTATCTAAAGTAAATAAAAAGTTTTTATATACTATATTAAATAACATTAAATATTCTTTAATTGAGTTTTTATTTTATAAAGCTAGGTGAGGTAGTTTTCAAGTTATTGAAGATTTTCTAACCGACCCGTTTTCTTTGCGGTCCAGTGTATATATTCATGGCTTTGTTGATTTGTTTACCTTTTCATTTGTTTTAGTTATTGTTTACATAACACAGAAATTCAAAATAACAGTTTCAACTATCTGTATCATGTAAATAATATACCTGCACTATCACGATAGACATTTCACTATATTATGTTCGACACTTGTAAACTGTATATGAAACAATAATAAAAAGTCAAGTCTTTGATAATAAAACTTTGATCATTTTCAAACTTTATATGTCGAATTTCGAATATCGGCTGATCAATAGTAATACTCGTAATTAAAAATCATGATTCTTACAAAAAATATTTAATCAAATCACATTATTTCTCTTCTGTTTTACAAATAACAATTGTATAGCATCCACTGTTAGTCCTTTTGTCTCGGGCAAGAATAACATGCTGATTATTGCTGAGCAGAAGCAGATTGCGGCAAATATGTAGAAGATGGGACCCAGACCGATGGCAGCGATCAATGGGGTGAATATGAACAGCAAGATGAAGTTGCAGAGCCATCCCCACTCGAACACAATCATAGTCAGGATACTCGATACCTGAAAGAAATTAATCATATTCTGCTGTATCTGCTTCAATAATTTTGCTATTGATTCTTTCATAGATATATTATTTTACAAAGTCCTTAACAATTTACGTATTTTGATTTGATCTTTACAAATGTAATATATAATATAAATATTTAACAACATCACATACATTGCTCAGATTCCAAGATGAGTAGCTAAAGATCCCGTATTATGGAGTATCTGAGACAACGAAGGTACGGCACACCCAGACCCGAGTCAATATAGAAAAGTTCACTTTCTACATTGACCCGACCGGGAATCGAACCCGGGACCTCAGAGATGGCGACACCTTAAAACCGGCGTGCGAACCACTCGGCTACGGAGGTCGTCATTTAACATTTACATTTAATAATATGATATATGAAAAACATATCTAATAATAAATTATTTAACTTGTAAAATTAGGAAATTATTGTTGAATGTCAAGCTATTTGCTAGCTATATTATGTTATATATCAAAATGACAAGTTTCCAGAAGTTTTGGTCTAATAACAATTCTACTGATGCCACTTCTAAATTAAGACAATTATAAGGTTGAGTTAGACTTAGTAAAAATACTCGAAAAATTTCAAACTTTACCTCTGGCAGAAAAACCTCAGCGCTCAAAACAAAAGGTACAGTTCCGGCGCCGCACTGGTAAGTTCCAACGAACAAATAGACAAGAATCGCAGTCAACCACCGAGGACCCCATTGTAGATGTATTTGTGTACCCAAGGCTACGTGACACAAGCCAGCTGCTATTGAGGAGATGATCATCAGTGGCTGGAACATTAAACAAATATTAATTCTATTATTATAATATTATCAGTGAATAAAGTTGGCTCCCTTAAATCAACCAGGGGTAATTAAACTGAAGCTGCAGACAAGGTATATATACAATAATATAAATTTTGCCAGCGTGTGTGCTAAATGTCTTGTGCCACAAGCTTCTAGTGCCTTGACATCGTTACATTATAAACCTACCCGCCGTGCTGGTAGGTTTACAATGACGACGGAGCAGTCACGTGTGCATATTGGGCCAACAATGATATTTTGGGATTTTTCGATGAATCGTTTGTTCATAATTATCTACATTGACGACCTCCGTGGATGTAGAAATTGTACGTTTCTATATTGTTTCCGGTCTGAGTGTTGTGGTACCTTCGCTGTTTCAGATGTTCTATAATACCGGGGCTTTAGCTACCCGTTTTAGTATCTGCGCAATATATGTGATATACAGCCAGTTGCATAAACATTTATTAAATTAGTTTAAAGCGACATTACCCATACAAATTTGACTTTCACTTGAGCTTAAAGGCGTCATTAAACCTTAATGGACGTTTGTGCAACTAACCGGTTGTCTAATATTTATTTTATTTATTTATTACTTCTCGTTAAGCATCATAGCTAAATGTTAAACGACGCTTGTTAGAACATATCGCCGCTACAATTGGGCACAAAATTAAGTAACTGCATTACAAAAATAACGGCAGCATTTTTAATTGGACGCCGGTTGATACATTACAACGTGTTATCTATACTTATAAATAGGAAAACTTTTATTGTTTGTTGGTTTGCAACAAATAGGCTCAAATTTACTTGATCTATTTTAAAAATTCGTTCACTTACGGGAAGCTTCATCATATGCGATAAATATAGGTTATATTTATCCCGAAAAGCAGATAATAAAGGGGTGAGAATGGAAGTGAAAGTTTGTATAGGGAATTAAAACCAAAAAAACCGTAGCTTGAAGGCTTGTGTCCCATAAGTGAAAATACAGGTTTCTGTTATATATTTGGAAAATATTAACTATTTCAAGTTATTGATATTTAATAAAATAAATTTTATGATACTAATTTGGAAAACATTACGCTTTGAAAACTTGAAAAAAGTAGGGAATATAGTACAAAACATTTCCAAATTAAATATGATATTAAATTACATAAAACGTTACGAGAATTTTCGTTATAAGAGCTATAAACATAAATGCACAAATAACGAAGATATTACAAAGATTGTCCAGATAACCATACTTTTTTCGCTACCCTAGCACTGTGTGACGACACTTAGTGATTTGCATTTTCGGCCGACTAGCAGCTGTTCCACAAACATAGCAGCGGATTTCCGGAACTATTAATCGCAGACATGATGATACTTCTATATTATTTCCAGATAATAACGGTGTATTTATTAATAACATAAAAAAGGTGTCTACTGTGTCATGATATGAATCGATATCCAAACAAACAGTACCCCAGAAACCATGTCGAAGGCGAAGCCGCTTTCGGAAAGCTAGTACAATATATACACAATAGATGATCGTATAATTTGTGTTCAATAATCTCACCCGTCTTCCACTCAGGTCAGTCAAATATGATGCAATCATTCCAAAAACCACACATACTATAGCTAATATAACACTGCACCATGCAGGCGATAGGGTCTCTTCTGGAACTGCGTCGGCAAACAGAGGATTAGAATATACCATAACCGCTGGCATTCCTTGGAAGACAGTTGTCATCATCAAAATCAATGAGAGAAGGAAACCACGCTGTGTAGACTTAGATTTTCCTAAAAAAATAAATAGAAGCAAACGTTATAGCATATAAAATCATATATCTACCTTCACGCCGTATCACTTACGGGGTACGGTATTATATACGTCTTTCGCCACGTCCACTTTCATTATTCTTTGCGTACATGCTTGCCATCAGTATGCGATCGATTTGAACACAACTACCCTGCGATTCTATAAAAATCCAGACCCGAAATTGGATTCAATTATGTGTCCGAGTTTACGTCATTTAGTGTAGAAATTCTATTATTCAATTTTTGTATAAAAATACAAAACAAAATTGATTCAATATAAGTGTCTTAGATATTCTCACATCACATCATCAGCCCTTTTACGTCCCCACTGCAGGGGCTCAGGCCTTCCTTATGGATGGTTAAGGAGGATGGGCCATGACCCTCCACGCTGGCCCAATGCGGATTGGAGGGTATTGACGACTGCAAATGCAGCCGGGACCAACGGCTTAACGTGCCTTCCGAAGCACGAAGTAGCTCGAGATAATAATTTTTTGGTCACCCATCCCGTGACCAACCCTTGCGAAAGTTGCTTAACGACCATGATTGCGGACCGCGGTGCTTATCCACTACGCCACCGAGCTATGTAATTTGCTATGTAATTTTGAAATTGACTTTACTTATGCCACAAAATATTGTTACCAATTCAAGGTTGAGCGGATGCCCGTTTTTGAAGTGAATTCGAACACCTGAGTGAATTCGAATTCGAGTTTGGATTTTTACAGAATCGCAGGGCTGGTCTGTGAATTTGATCGTGGCGTGGCCTTCTTTGGCTTCTACGTCCTTCATTTATAATATAAATAATTGGAGCTTATGTTTTTCAAAGTCGGTTAATATTATTAAAAGTATGACACACATAATATATATTATATTTAAGAGCTTAAATTAAAAGTATAAGATTCTACTTACTAAAAAATTGGAAAAAGTTTAATTTTTCCACAGGAGCTTTCTTAGGAATTGCAGGTGTTAACTTTTCTTCTTCAGGATTTAATGTTTCTGTTGTTTAATTTTAAAGTCATTAGAAATATAAACATAAGTATAAACGAAAAACATTTGATGTATAAATTATATTATGTCCCAAAAGTAATAATGACCAACTCTACTATAATGAGAAATATGTATGCCTTTATAAAACTGAACACTCGGACACGCCCACCAACGGTATTCTATATTAGAAATAGTTCCCGAATCGAATACAATTTGTTTTGAAATATACACATCAAGCACTTTTATATGATATCTCACTTGAAAACTACTACTAATAGCCTTAATTTTAAATTTTGATATCGAATTTTATTAAAACATTTTGTTAATTGTCAAAATTGTTGATTTTAGGACAACTATAGTTTTTATTCCCTGGTGTGTCAAACACACTATAGTAAATAAAGAATAGTTAGCAAAAAAAAACTATATTTAGCCGCATAAACGGCTATTTATTATATAGTATAACGCTGAAAAATTCAATAAGGAATACTTTTTGATTATGAGAATTCACATAACCTTGCTCTTCAGGATCTAATACCCTTTTGATCTTCTTTATCTCTTGTAATATTACTTTAGAATCAGGTTTTGAGTTGGTATAAAACGCTATAGATTTTATCGCTTCCTGTAAATTAAAAAGATATTTTTTATGGCTATGTAGAATTATTCAAAGCAAAAAACACTTTTTTATACATTTTATCTTGAACCAAAGATCTTGTAAATAGAAATAAAAAGATCCCAATCTTGACAGAGTACCGTTACTTATATATAAAGTTCCTATCAGATCCATTATCAAACACTTGATATTATTTCATACCATATTCCTTACAAATCAAAAATTCGATGAGTTTGTCACTACAGAGTCCCAAGAATACCTGATCTGATGATGGGAGCTTCCGGCTCCCATCATCAGATCAGCTTATTCCATTTCAACATTGAATCATCTAAGATAAAATGCATAAAAAATTCCAGGGAAAGTGAATCAAATATAGTTTGGAAGATTTCACACTAATCCAAGTAACAAAACAACCACAAAGCAGCTATTTCTAGTAGCAACTACATTTTTATTGTAAAACTGATTATTAATGCAAAACTCACTTCTTCCATCCCTTTCTTCATCAACAACATTGGTGATTCCTTCAGAAACATCAAAAGCAATAGTGTAATCACAGATAGAGTTAGACAGACATACGCCATGGCATCATAGCTGAGTAGACCTCCGATCATGTATGAAACGAGTATTCCCAGACGTAGGAAGACCAGAGCACCAGATGTTAAAGTTCCTCTTATTGATTCATTGCAAAATTCACTGATGTAGATTGGGATTACCAGAAATATTGAACTACTGATCCCTGCTAAAAATAAAGCGGCTAGGATAATTTCGACACGGTTACTGAATGTTATTAATCCCCATGCCATCTGAAATTAAAGCAAATTATACTATTAATTTTAGTTTGCTACTCTTAATATATCACCGTATCAATAAACCATTTTAAGAAAATATTGATTGATACCATATGCCGTAATTATTATGGCTCATTTTTAATGGATATAGCTGTTTTTCCGCGACTTCGCCTGCGTAAACTAAAGCCTATGCTACCCCGTACATAAAAGATTTTTTTAAATTATCATTAAATACTATGAGAATTTAGGTTTTACACGATTATTATAAAAAACGGTCAATATTGCGCTACAGCAAGAAGCTCAATGACCCAGTAGTCTGCAATGGTTAAGCAACTCCCACAAGGATGGATGATTCACAGTATTGACACCCATCAACATGCACTCCCCCTTTTTATCTTTAAATATAAGGCCTGTGTCCCTGCATTGGGGACATCAATAGGCTGACGATATGTAATATAATGTAAATTTAAAACGCAATACGTCACCATTTGTCAATTAAAATAAGAACTTAAAACCTGGGCACGTGATTTGTATTGGTATTTTTGGGAGTAAAGAGAATAAAAATCGCGATGTTAGAGAACAATGGTACAATATAAAAAAATCATTTAAAATCTGCGTCACTACGATGGAGTGATCAGAGGTGGTGGTATTACCATGACGCCTTAACTATAACATAAGAAAAATGATACCTACCAATTTCGATAGGATTATCGAACTATCGACTTTTATCCAGATTATTATGATATTGTATTTATTTACAAACTTTCCCACTTTAAAAAACGGATTGGAATAAGAGCAAGAGGTGAACTTAATACTAATAGCATTCACTACCAGTCAACCGGGGAAACAGAAACACATGATCGCGGCATAAAGTGAACTAAGGAATATACTACTTGAACTATACCACATATGAATTGATATACAAATATATAATTATATATACATAATATACCTACATACAACGTAGTATGAGAGCTTTCTGTTTAAAGATAAATTTATCAGGAGATCTTTGTTATTTTTAATATTGTCAAGAGAAATTTAGCGAGACCATACTACAGTCGCTTGACAACACATATTTTGCATCGAAGTTACTAAATTCTACTATATTTTGAAAATGTCAGCAAAGAGCTATAAAGCGTCTATCGTATTAGCGATAGTGAAAATTTAAAATAGTAGTCGGTCTAAATTAGTTCCTTGCTGTACATTTGATTTAGTAATAGTACACGCAAGATACTCGTATCTAGTCACAGATACTATGTTTCTGTGTATGAGTTAAATCAGGGGTGGGCAAATATTTTGATAGTCAGGCCACATTGCAGATAAAAATTTGACCTCGGGCCAAACAGTTTTCTTTTCTAATTTTAAATATAATTTTTGCTAAGGATGTCAATTAATGAATTTTAAAACCAACATTTTTGAATCAAAATATTTATTTATCAAGTATATATATTAATAACTAGTAATTATGAATACTGTAATTGTTCAATTATTATATTTTGATTAATTTTGCATTCACAATGCCATACTGAGAAATATTCTTAATACAAAATTATCATAATTATATTTTCAAATAGAAAGCGCTGAAAAGAGCGGTTGTCCGGGAGAAAATTTTGGCTCCCACCGGCTCTGATAATGTGTATAAGTATTGCTTAATATTTTTTCTAAAATTTTTTATGCACTATTTATGTTAGACAAAAACTAATATTTGTGATTTAATAATAATATATACAATGCTTCAGGGGCCAGATAAAATTATACCGCGGGCCGGGTTCGGCCCACGGGCCGCCATTTGCCTGAGCAAATGCCTGAGCCTGAGTTAAATCAATATAGTAATGATACTATATTCATATTTAGAAGTACTTCAACTCTAAGAGAATGGAACAATTTAATTTCTCAAATGCGCTGCTGACACCGGTATATAATATAGTCTTAAAGATATATAAAGATATATATATATATCGCACACCTAGATCTAAACTGAGACAACTCAAAAATATGAGTGAGTTTTGACTTAGTACATTATTCAAATACTCGGTGATAATACGCATCTATCCAACATAACAGATTCAATAAAGGTTCGGGGATGAGCCGCTAACTTTAGCTTTCTTTTGTTGAATCAACAGTGGTCACGCTTCTGCCACGTAAACAAATGTATTGTCAGAACTCCACATTAGTTTTTTGAGTTGTCTCAGTTTAGATCTAGGTGTGCGATATATATATATATATAGTACCAACCTACTCACCTACATCAAAATGTGGAGCTAGATGAGATTCACGTACACTAGACAGCCCTTCAGAATCCATACTGATATATCTATACCAATATTATAAATTGGAAAGATTTGATTGTTTCTTTGTTTGCATCGAATAGTACTTAACGTACTGGAGGCTACACAGGCGAAATCGCGGGAATATGGCTAGTCGATTATAAGTTAATATCTACTAATTTGGAAAATATTCTTCGACAATCAACGCTGTTAAAGTAAGCACTAACAGACCTGTCTATAGAATTCTTTGATTTGCGAAACAAATAATATCGTACGTTTTGGTGTATGACCATAAATTTTCCATAAGACTGTCTACAATTTTTACGGTGTAAATATTATCACTATTCTGTCACATAGCATTATCCTGTCACTTTCCTGAACTTATTTGTTTAAACTTTTTTATTTACGTATATAACAAAAAATCATGCCAAGTATGTGCAAATGTAAACAGTGTGTATAAACAGAGGCGCACTTTTTTTGCAACATTTTAGATGACATTTTACACCGTAGTGATTAATCTGGTCACACGTTCTGGTAATTATTTAAAGGTATATATTGATAATCACAATAAAAAATGTCTTACCGTTCTAATACAAGCACTAATTATTGCACAATTTTTTCTCCCTAAACGATCCAGAAGTAAACCGGTTAGAGGATTGCTGATGAGACATGCTATCGATGATAAACTCCCCAACAACGCCAGCTCCAACTCTCTCATGGGTCGATGTAGAGGAGTCGCCTCAGATTTGAATAGAAGATATGTAGATGCAGGCCATGCGAAAAATATGCCAAAGTTAAGGCAACCGCAATGTACTGTAAATAACAAAGAAAATTATTTAAAAACAATCAACATGACATGGAATTTACGAAAAGAGAAAGGGTTGTTAAAAATTTAATAATAATATAATTGGTTTCCATTCCCGGACAAATCAATGTAGAAAATGGGACTTTTTAATATTGTCTCGGGTCTCGGTGTTGTGGTACCTTCGTTGTCTCAGATCATCCATAAAACGAGGTATATAGTTACTTATCCTCTAATATAAGCAATGTTGTCTAATATTAAATATTAATTAATTTAATTATAAAAAAACATTCCTTCCATAAAAATACACTTGACAGTAACTAGAAAAATGATTAAAAAATTTATAAACTTCTTTAGAAGACTGGCAGAATATTTGTAACTTATTTGTATATAATAAATCGATTTGTGAGCCTTGATTAAAACTTTTCTCAATAATAAATGAAGTGTGTAAAATATATAAAGAGATTTTGTAATAACTTTATCACAATTATGATTTTACACCGCCGCTATATATCATGGATTTATATATTAATTTTATATGGCTATTTACATCTAAAATAATGGAAACACTCACATATTAAAGCTGACACCACTTGTATTATATATTTGCTCATTTTTTCCGAAAAATTTTATATGGACCCAAATTGACCTGTACACAAGAATTCTAATTATTTCTTCACGGGGCTAATATTTCTTCGTTATTTAATTGTATGATATTATAAATACATTGATCTATACAAGGATAGATCTCATTAGATGCCTAATATCGATGTCATAAGTCAACAGAAATCGATAACTGAAAACTTTAGATCAACATCTGAAATAATTTCGTATCTTATATCGCTAAAATTTTAGGATACGTTTAATAGTTAAGACATCAAGACAATATCTAAGAGCCATATTGTTGTAACATTGAAAATATTTAAAACCAATCCACATATTTATATTCTTGAATAAATTATGCCAATAAATACAATGACTACCCTAGTGAAAAAAAGATGACATTGCAGATATGTTAACTCAAACAAATAATATGGTTGGCAGCAATTTTTACCTGATTATGAAATGTATTTAGACACAATGCGTACATTCACCCTCAAATGTATCTATTCTAGATTTCATTAATATTTTGCGCTAAAAAATGAGATTAGGGAATATAATTGAAACATATTAACGTTAAAAAAAATTCCCTTTTTGGAAAAAGTTTTTATGTCACATGTTACGCAGTGTTATTGCAAATGGCACAAAGTTCATTACGAAGAAATTCTTCTGGCATACACTTGTTTAGGATATATGAAAACTTATAATTTTATAGAATATTTATAGTCAGAATCGTTTGTTCACAATCTATGGTTTTTAAGCGACTTCAAAATCGAAAAATAGAAGTGATATGTTCGACAGCGATGTAATATTTTTTTTTCATATTGAGGGGTGAAAGCCTATTTGTTTTAAGCGCCATTTTTTTAACTTTTCAGGAGAGGGATTCAAAGTTTTTGATTTCGAAAAAAAAATCATTAAATAAAAACTACTGGTTATTTTTGCCTGAAAGTTTTACAATCTAGATTATTTTTAAAATCCTCAAATTCTAGTTATATTCTTAACTTTGTCATGACAATTATTTCGAAAATAAATGACGGTTAACACAAAATGGCCGCATAATAGAGTCAGGGAAAACGGTTTAACCACCACTTTATTTCGCTGATCGGTGCGAGCAAAAGGCTTTAAGTACTACTTTAATTGTCTTTCTAGTTTGGATAAATGCTTTAACCAACTATCCACTAATTCAATAGAATAAACCTATTTGGCTGAAGAAGCAAAAATGTTCATTTCAGGGTCAAATCATAACAGCTTAAGCAACAATTTAAAACAAAAGCAATTGTTTTAAATCGCATTTGTTTGTATAACTTTATTATGAATGGCGAATGATACCATGCAATTTATTTCTCATTTTAAAACTTCAATCTTAGTGGAGATGGTTTT